GGGAAATGAACCATGCAAGATGGCTGCTCTCTTTGCCAGGCGTTGGTGCTGTACTTGCTATGAACATGTCTTTGGGAGGTTACTGATCTCTATCAATGGCCTCTGCTGTTCAGGTAATGTACACCAGATATATGCAATATTTACATGTACTTAGCAACCAAAGCAACACACAGTTGAGAAAGGAGGGTGAGACAGTGCCTGGTGCAACTGGGGCCAATGGTGAAACAAACTACTGATTATGGGAACCAGTGACCTTCCAATCACAGACACAGCGCCTTAACCCACTGAGTCACACCACCTATAGGATGCTTCAAGGGCAATGTGGACCAGAGATCCCACTGTTCTATCGTCTCTGGCTATATTGTCCTCAAAAGGAACTTTCGGAATCGTGATTTGCTCCTGAAAGTCAGCTTTCAAATATTTTTGCGTGCATCATATAACAATGACAGCTCTATTTCAGTCATTTCAATTTCATGTTTGTCATGCTAGTGATACAGTTATAGCCCATGCCCCATTGCCCCATGTCATTCCTCCTATGCCAGTAAGTCCAGGTATACCTTCACATTACTGTCGGTCTGCGTGGTTTTCATCGCCTCTCTTACACTTTAGAATAATCACCCATCCTTCTTCAAAGTGCTTATCCAGGATAAAGTCCCAGGAGAATAATCAATGATGACATTAAAAAAGGAGAATAAATAATGATGTGTGACAAATCGCTGTATGCCAGTTAGTGCTGCCCTTGCCTCAGACTGTTGATCTGAGCACATGGACAACGTGGGTAAGCATACGAGAGGTCGTTTACTGTAGCGGACAATTTGATTGGAGACCAATTACAGCCATTTCTCGCCCGAGACAACAATGAACAGGAAGTGCCTGATCACTTAACTTTGGGACATCTGTGGCCTGGGCAATGATGACGATCCTTTACCAGGCAAAATATGTAACATAGGAAGGTGTATGGGCACAAATGGCTTCATTTCCTTTCCACAAACCAACATATCCAACCTCCCCATTTCAGCTGCAATGCCTGCCGTCTACCTTCTTAATCTAATCTATTTTCAATAGCCACTCATCTAAATGACATAACAGTGCAGCAGAGACCAACCATGAACAGGACACCACCCAATACAGGAAGCACCTGATTCACCAGCATGACACGTTTGGAATACAAGAGGAATTATGGTACAAACTGGACAACGTGGAAGTTCCATGCAGACAGAGTTTGGGGAAATTTAATATCTAGTATCCCATAAATCTGGAAACACAACTCACTGTGCCACCACCCTTTAAGACATTATTCATTCTAAGTAATTATTTGATTATGTAAACATAATAATCAACAGATTAGGCCATTTTTTCTCTGTCTTCAGTTGTGTGACAGTACTGAAGATCCCTGTGGGAAGAAACTATCCCCCCCCATAATACTTCAGCTTCAAGATGACATTAATAAGCAGAATAAATCGCTCTCTTGTGATATACCACACACAAAATAACCCCAAAATAAATGCCATGACTAATGCATGTGTCTGCCGGTTTATGAACACTGTGCCTTTTGTCCTTAATAATTGAAGCCTTGTTTCATTTGATCAATATAACACTGCCTGCCTCCGTCACTGTACATACCCACTATGACAGCCCATTACGCAAATAACAGAAACTCAGTTTTGGATAATTCCGAGTGGCCTCTGACTAATTTAGATTTGTGATTGTAGTATTGTTGGCCATTTTTAAGGAGCTGGCGTTTAAATAATTACGTTTTGTGCTAAACCCCACAATCCTCATTTAATTTAATTACTTAAATATGATACAAGTTCTACTTAGCCAAAGAGAAAATTAAAAGTGCTGTTATTTGTCATTATCAGAGAAAAGCTGCATTTTCATTCTTCAGTAACATTTAAATAAGAAATGACAATTCATTTCCCCAGTTCTTGTTTAATTTCAAAAGGTGATTCTGCTGTTTTCACATTATTTTTCATCATGAATCACAGTACGGAATTAATTTAATAGTGCTTTAGAAATATCTCTTAAATGGCTTGTGTATTATAGGAGCATTAGGCGTGAGCGGACGTGTTCTGTGGATGAGTGCATGTACCGCTCACAAGTGTTCGGTGAAACTAGCAGGCAAGGACAGAGTAAGCGACGATAAAATGCAAAGGCTGCCGTCGCTGTCACATCTTTTATTCATGATATTATCCTTCTCACCCTCCTCTGAGCTGTACCCATGCCTGGCCCTAAGAACTCATCCGTGGGCAAGATAAAGCAGGCGACAGGGGGCCGAGGGCCGCGCATCACAAGACTTCAGAGTCTAATTCAGCTCAGCGGAGGTGGGGGGAGCGCAGTCACGGCATCAACACCGCCGCCAGAACAGCGCACCCTGTGATCTGAGCACACGACGGGGGTGCTCACCCGGAGCTGGTGCTTCCCTGCCTCAAAACACGACAAGGCAGGTCTTTGCTGGAGGAGAACATGCCACCAGATGCCACCAGCTTCCTGCCACTTTAGGTCTGTGTACCGCCGAGGGAAGTGGTCTGGAAAATCCAGGACACTACAAAGGAAAGGTGTATGGCTGTGGGGTCACGACTCCGTGCCTGTGATCGGAAGGTCGCTGGTTCAGGTCCCATGGTCGATAGAGTAATTTCACTGTTGGGGTCTTGAGCAAGGACCTTAACCCCTAGTTGCTCAAAGGCTGACCCTGCGTTCTCATTCACTTTGAATAAAAGCATCTGCTAAATAAATGAGAAAAGGACAAGCATCCCCAGCCTAATAAAAGCCCAATAAATCGGCACCAACATTTCACTTAGAGCAGAAACTCTAAGCAGAAAACTTCACTGACCCCTGAAGTACAGAACAATTAATTTGTTTACACCATTGGTTTGGGGCTTTTGGCCTGGGGCTGTGGGTGCCTGAGAGCACAGAGGTAACACTAAAAACTCCTAAATCTCATTTTAATGCTCAGAATTCTACATAACTCAGACCATCTTCCTAGCCACACTCCAGTTTCATGCATGCAGAATTTTGAACAGAAAAACAAGCAGAGGTACAGCTCCTCCTGTCCCCTGCTCTTCTCATGGTGCACCTAACAAGTCGCAAAAGGTTAGGCTGAAAAATTACATGATGCACAGCTTTCCCCTGAAATCTGTTAGTCAGAAAAACAGATCGCTTGCACTGAGATATTTATAGATATCTACATCCTCTTCCTTTCATCTGACAGGCATCTTTTGCCCCCTCTTACAGTCCTTAGGGATGAAAATGTGTGTGAAGTATTTTTTGTGCATTTAAGGCTTTCATCATGATAACTGATCCGAACTGTGTGATGGGTAGCGGCCCCCAGACTCCTCTGAGTGTATACAATCCTTCAATCCACCGCTCAAAATTACAGCAACATCTCGCACTGCAATTTTCTTTCTTAGACCCACAGCTTCAAGACTTTCACAGTCCATTAATAACATAGCAAACGCTACCAAACCATACGCCCTAGCGATGCTTCCTTAACAAAAAGCTTTTATAGATGATGATCACTTTTAATAACCCCCTGAGCATCTCTGATTAGATTAGGTGTAAATATGGCAATTATGGGTGGGTTTCAGCAAGGCCGTTGCCAGGGTTTGAAAAATAGTGAGGTCTGGCCCCCGGGGAGTGGGAGGATGGTCTAGTCAATCACATTATTGATACCGTCATAAGCTGTTTATTCATTTATTTTTCTTTAAGTAATTAGTTATGTGAAATGTAACTTCGCCTTAATTTTTTTATTCAGGTGAATATTTAGCTTCAAATTTTACTTTTAGCTCTTAAAAAATCAAGGTCCAGACCTCAGTGACCTCATAGCTGGCTACGGCCCTGCTGTTCAGATTTTACATGGTTAGTCATTTATGCTGCTGACTGCATTTGTGTTTTACACGGTGGCTGTTTAATTTGGTGTGTCTGGGTGGGACGTTGTATAGGGCACATGTTATTTAGTTTAGTAAAGTGGCTTGCTGATTCTGAAGATAAAGTTAGATTGGCTCTAAGTTTTAGTTGTCACAATTTTAAGTTTCCTTTATAAAATATATAATCATCATCATCATTATTAATAATAAATTGTAATAAAAATAATAAAAATAAATGATGATGACGACAATAATAATACTTATGACAATAATAATCATCATCATCATAATCATCATCATGATGATTATCCTGTGACACTTCCACTGAACTACCTAATTTGTTAATGAAGTTCACCTGAGGCTTCCTCCCACTCAGACCTCCCTCCCGATTCTCCTCTACATTAGTGTAATTTGTTTCAGTTCCCCACCACCCAAGAGGAGCTGTGTTAATCAGCTAAATTACGACAACCAGCTCCTAAGCAATTTACCTACAACGGCTATAAGACCGTGACACGAAAGTTGTAATTTCAATGTGGCATAATTTAAATTGTTTTTTGTTTGTTTGTTTTTTCAGGTACAAGTAACAATGTATTCAAATGACCTAACATTAGTCTCCTGCTGTTAATGACTCGAATGAATGAGCTATAGAATGAGCTACTCATATAAAAAAACACATTCAATTTCAATCTATTTATGTTCGGGACACATGCCTATATCAAAAAACTTGCATCTGTTATCAAATGAATTAATAACATACACATAGGTGAAGTCCAGTTAAATGTAACCAGAGTCTCTTCTCCAATGGTAACAAAGTCGGAAAAAAACTTTAAATGTTTAATAGTAGCCCCGCCACCCACGTATAATGAAAAATGAATTGATGCTTGAATAGGGTAGATCTACCATTAATTTAATTTCAAATTATTTATTTTTATTTTTTTCCTCTTTCTGAAACGCAGGAGTCTAAAAAGTAACGCTTTCTATAAGTTACCTTAACAGCTTTTTAATCGATCGCACTTCTAAAAAAGGTTAAACGTTTAATTACATATCTGCCACGTTAATCGATCGTTTCTATTTCCTTTTTGGTTTTTCAGAAATAAAAATACCGGAGACTACCGGCTTTTATATGTCACTCACCATGCTCATACTCATCTGCTCGGCCGTGAGCGAGGGTGCCGCAGAAGTCTCGGATAAAAACCAAATGACTGAAAACAAAAACATTTCTCAAGAGATAATCCGATAATTATAGAAGCCCCACTTTTGGAAAATTAATCACGATTTTTTTTCCTGTCCTTCATGCGTTCATAACACCACTCCGGACCGCCACAGCCACGGACGGTGAGTCCCGAATCCCCGCAATAGGATGCATGTACCCGCTGTCACATCTCCATCACCGCCCGTGCCAAAATCACTACCTGCAGAACGCTTGTGTCCCATGAAAATGACACGGAGAATGAACTGCGCCGGGGATAAATGCTTTCACGTGACGCGCATGTCTATGGTTGCATTAAAAAAAGCTTTCCCCGTTAAGGAGTTAAGACGTCCGCAAATAAGTTGGCAGAAGAGCGATCCGAGCCCCGAGCGCAGCGTCGGAGGAATGAATCGCTAGTGTGCAGCCGCCCCGTGGTCATCCTTCCGTGGACCGCGAACTGGCTGTGGCGCCAGAGCTCCAGCTGCATAAATATCAAGGAGGGCGGTGGAGGGGGGGGGGGCTCTTTGACGCTGGAAAAGGGGCGTTTGGAGACAAGGGCAGTAGTCAGAGCCACTTAGGCACCCTGTTGATTAACGATGCGAGCTGCGTTTACGACGCTGCATTCATGTTGCGGAGATGACTAACCCGCTGCGTGGGTCATATGAAGATGACTGGCATGACCGCCAGAGCAGCCCGTTTGCCCATCATTTATTTAGGATATTTGCTGTTTACATTCTTGATTTATAACTAATGATAAGTACTGAAAGTCATCAGGTATGATATAAGAAACACAGACACACACATGAATTACAATTACAGCAAACACAATTGCCCTACATTTGGGGCATTATGAGAAGATATTTTCCCCAACCTGAATACAGAAATTAATCGGAAGGGATTCAGGATAAAGGGGTGATGGATATCGATTAAGTCATTCAAAATTTAAAAAGATATAACGAAGAACTGTAACCATAGCAGAGCTAACAATGCCAGATCTACTATTAATATTTAAGAGTGATGCTGGTACTGTATAGACTGGCATGAATAACTTTTTTTTAATGGACAAAAAAAGTATAAAAAAAAAACTGTATTGTCTTATTAATGAATGGTTAAGTGAATGCAAATGAATATGTAAGAAGGAAAAAATGTGTAACAGATTTGAAGATTATTGGATTATTCTATGGAAATTGGCTAAGCATATATTATACAGAGTAAGTTCAATAAAACACAAAAAATATGCAGTAGTCTTAATACAGTTATCATGTTCAGCTAAAATCTGAGGGGTCCAAGCAGTGCAAGCCCATCAGAGAAGATACGAGAAGATACCATCTCCTGAGGGCCGTGGCAGTGGAGGTGCAGAGGAAGGCAGGGTGAGGTGCAGAGGCCCGGAAAACCCAGACAGGATCCAGGAAACCTGAAGTGGGACAGAAACACAGAAAGTAAAGCACTCAGAAAACCCAAGAAGGAGACGCCAACGTGCCAGCTGTGGAATTCCAGCCGCTCAGGACCACGAACAGAGGAACAGGACACTGGCTAAGCAGACGGTCGTCATGGACCCTGAGACGCGACACCGAGAGCCACAACCACAAAGCCAGTCATCAAAGACGCCAGAGAGACACTAACCAATTACAGGAAGCCTCACAAATTAAATTCCACACTCTACACTCTCTATGTTAGAATTAAGTGATGAGTGGTCATTGCTGGCACACCACAGCACAACAACAAAATGTGTCCTCTGCATTTAACCCATATGTGATATATAGTGACATAGCAGGGGGCAGCTAATTCGGCACCCAGGGAAGCAGCACTTGGGGGGGGGGGGGGGGTACCTTGCTCAGGGTACCTCAGTGGTGCTTAGCTGGTCAAGGATTCAAACCTGCAATTTTTCAATTACAATTACTCTTCCCTAACCATTAAGCTACCACTGCCCACAGTTTTCTCTGGTAAGTTACAGCACACCTTTTTTTTATATGTAAAAATGACTGAATGTCAATTTTGGTTAACGAAAGTTTTTTTCTTTTGTATTTAACGCGTGATTGCCTTGATCAGTCCATTTAATGGGAGGTTACCTGTTTAACGATGGGTGACACCACGCAGGGAATTGTAGAAGTTCTGTTGCTTGATTTGAATTAATTAAAAATGACGCGGAACACAAAGCTTCTGCGATCTCCTTTATAACATCTGCCCCCTGCTATAAGCAAGAATGTATAAACTTAATGCAAGTAGGGGGTCAGTCAGCTTGACAAATGAGAGCAGTGATTGGCCAGTGTGCTGAGGCCAAGATCTTTCTGTTTCACATAAAGTCCATCTCAAGAAATGAAGGGAGAGTGGATCCTTCCAGGAAAATCGGTGGGCGGCCCTGGAATCGTGCACAAATGCACTAGTGAGACATAATAACCTGTTTACAGAGAATAATTATACCCTCCAGTAGCTGCTCTAAGGAATTTCTATCTTGGGTAAATTTGTGCATTTGTGAGTATATTTTTCCCAAAGAGCAGTAGCCTGCATTATTATAAAATAAAGATTTAATTACACCTCCAGCTCATTGGCTTGGCGATTCATTGACCAAAATGGTTCCTGGGCAGCCATGGTTTTCATTTTCATTAAATTTGATTGTTATTATTTTATTCACTCACTGGTTTATGAATGTGTTAGCAGGCCTGCTAGCCTTACCAGCGCATGCTATGTAATAAAGGGGAGAGTTGCACACTAAAGAATCTCTCCATGAAAAAATCCATGTGTGAAATATATAATTTTATACAGCTAACATAGGCACTGGATTTTACATAGCGTCTGTTTACTGTTATGCAAATGTCCGTGTGATCAACTTCCTTTTTTCTTATGTGTTACTATACCATATTTTTTGGTGCAAATTTAACGAATAATGCAATTAAATATTTAGTGCATATGCTTGAAGCATTTGTGGTTCAGTCATTAGAAATAGAAAGCTACATAAATTTTTGTGAATGAATCCATTTCAGTCCAAAGGAAATAACCTGATATTTAAATACTGCATCCAAATTATGCACAGCCATGTCATCTCTAAGCATGGAGAAGCTAAGAGTTAGCGAGGTAGAAGCTAATTCCTTGCAATTACCCATATTGTACCACACAGAATCCTGTTTCTTCAGACAGATTTACTTCCATTTTCAGAGCGATAGGTACTTTCACAAACTCACCATCACAAGCCACCATCCCATTAAAATTACAACCATTTGTATTTCATTGAACTATTCTGAATTGAAAATATCAGTTACATGAGCTTGTTTTGAAAGGGGAGAAAAGATTTGAATCACCATGGCTTATTTCGATGCAAGTGTTACAAATTCTGCTCTTACAATGTGCGTGCCTTCATGGGGGAAACTGTTGCCCATGTTAGTAGGTTATCTGTGCAGTTCTATTGCAGCATGCTTTCCAAACCTTTGAGGGGGGGTAAGGTCATGGGAGTCTTGGAGGGAGGCAAAGCCGAGTTTTCGTTTATCTGCAGCCAATTGCCAGTGATAAAGAAAAACCACCTTCCCATTTCCCACGACAGCCCAGACATGGCTGCACTTTCCCCAGACTCAACGCCCAACCCGTGTCCCTGTGACATTCCTGCTTTGATGAAGCTGAGGTTAATCCTTTCAACCCTCTGCTTTGTAAAACCCCTTCCACCCTCCTACCCCCATATGTCATACAGATATGCTCGCCATCCCAACTCAAGCAACTCATTATCATTTAAATTTTCCTCTATGCTTTGCCTTAGTGATAAAAAATACATTTCTGGATTGCGGACATATTGCGAGCTGTGTTGCTGATGCTGGCTTTTAAGGTGGCACCTGCAGAACGTTTGTTTCTTTTCCTTACACAACTTTTGTTTTAGTGACTTCAGTATTACTCAGCAGTGCCGCAGCTTGCCGTCGCGTCTAACCAATTACTTTGCGCCAATTTTGCAGTCATTGTCTGTTTTAACCTCCCCAGATATCTGCATTTATGGCAGTGCCTAGCCTAGAAGCAATTTACCTTTTAATGCAGCTAATTTACCTGCCAGTTATATAGCACGACAGAAGATAGCACTACGCAAACACCCCCACAAAATACTTTCTGGCCTGCTTAATGTTAGCATGCCCGGGATGTCAGGTGGTCAATTTACCAGAGACCTGCAGAGTTTTTCTTTCTCGAATATCAAACTGCAAAGATTTTTTTTCCTTGCCTCCACCCTGTTCTGACTTTTGTTAGTTCATTTACACCATTCTAACTGTGGCATGTCAGTAACTGCTTTCTGATACCAGGGCTCACCAACCTTTTTGAAACTACGAGCTACTTCACGGTCACTGAGCCATACGAAGGGCTGCCAGTTTGAAACGCCCTCCTAAACTTATCTAAACTTCACGTATAATAAACATGTTTTAAATGCATTTTTTTTTAGATATTGTCATTTTCAAATCTATATCAATGCAAATGCAACCCACAATGCAACAGGATAAAATGAATTTTAGACGCTGCTCACTGGTGAGTGGTGCTATTCTTAGAACAGGTCCGCGGGCGACTCGTGTGGTCCTTGCTGGCATCCTGGTGCCCGTGGGCACCATGTTGGTGACCCCTGCGGTAGAGCATGTTGGGAAGGACACCATACAAAAAAAAACCTGAACTGAATCGAATTATTTACCTGGATGAGCCCAACCTGCAGGCTAATGGTTTGAATTAAGTGGCCAACACTGAAAAATAACAACCATCATCATTTACAATGCACACTTTTCTACAGCTCCACATAAGCAGGGGATTTGCTGCATGTTGAGCATTCATTCTACTGGGTGGGTAAACATTTTTGGATGTTCTCAGCCAGACTCGTATCAGGTTAAGGGGGCCCTGGTGTGAAACAGTCAGGTTTGTGTCATCAGGAGGTCTAAATTATAATTTAAATCTGTAGTCTTTCTCATGGCAAGGTAGACGTAAACACAATCTAGTCCTAACAGCCAGTAACGGGAATGAGGAGGCGGGCAGGCAACACAGCAAGCAGCAATTCAGGCGACCTTCTCCTGACCGTCTCCCTGCACGGGAGCTTAGCTGATCCTAACCTGGTCGATTACATATCAGAGTGTCATTTAACGGCTGTCAGCTAACACCTGGGTCCCAGACAACTCCATCTGTCAGCCGCAAACACTGGTACGAAATAAATATGTGTTACAGGTGTTCCCAGCTGGTAGCCACGCGCTTGTTTGCCAACGGACTAAATAGCGAAATAACTGTACAGGTTGCTTGACCTTTAATGCTTTCTTGTGTGCAATTAAATTAAATGACCTTGGATGAAAAAAATACAAAGATGTACAAACTATGGAAGTAGCATGGATAAAGGGATCTGCAAAACTAACATATAAACGTAAATGTAAAATTTATGTTAAAATTTATCGTCTCAACCAAGGGCATAACTTATAACTGTGGGTTGACCTTGGGGGGGGGGGGGTCT